ATTTATTGAGCTCCTTCTTCAAGTCTTCCACTCGTAGATCCTTAAACTTCATCGTAGTATTATCGTAATCTCACTTCCGACACCAATTGTTACGTTCTTGGATTTTACTTAATCCCGTGTAGACGTCGTTTTATTTCCCAATATAGTTCGTACTAAATAAAATGCGGTTCTTACTGATTACGATTATTACAATGATTTTATTGACACAAGGCAGTTAGTCAGTTGTGAATCAGATCGCGAATTGAAACCGTCAAGTAAAGTGCAAAGTAACACTTTACTTGACGGTTTCAATTCGCGATCTGATTCACAACTGACTAACTGCCTTGCCATTTCCTCTATTTATATGAGCCATGCCTGTCGCTACAGAAGTTTCTAGACGATCTGGTTGTTGTTGTGAAGTTATTCGAATAAACTGCGTAGTAGAAATTTACGTTACAATTCAAATTCTTAAAGTAACGGAATTCATCTAAATTAACTTAAATCTAAAGTTATATTCGTAATAATATGTTTCTGTCACTTTTGATGGCTTTGTATCACGGTACAATTGTATAAGGTAACTGCAAAACAACAAATACAAATCAACAACAACTACATAGAAATTTGTTATTGTATGTAACACTAGTGTCAGTTTGATATGTCGAAAAATGTAAACAAAACATACGAAATATCAATAAATTTGATTTAATTCAAAATACAACATTTTTGAATTTCCAGAATAAAATTGAAAAAATGAATGAACATCTTGCAAATGTGTAATTTTATCGCTTCTATGTGTTTTCTTCAATTGAGCCATTGCCATATGTAGAGATAACCCATACAAAATCGCTAAAAATACAGTTGAAAATTGCAATTTTAAATCAAAGGACAACGAACTTCTGTTGCGATTTTTTCAATTTGGAAATTTATAATTGTCAACGCGCGATTAGAACTCTTTTAAATTAAAATAAATGTCAAACATTTCACAAAATGGTGTAGTATTTTTTCATGGTCCCCCCATATTTTGTGAAGCTCAATTTGTATTATAGTATTTATTATTTCAAATATAATGTGTCCAAATGTTCCTACTGGGTCGTTCTACATAAATCAAAAATGTCACGAGTGTAACAATACAATAAAATCAGCTGAGTATTGTAGTTACCTTGTATAATTGTACCATGGGTTTGTATCCCTGACCAGGCCTATATAAGGTCAGTAAGGACGGTTGAGTATTATGTTTGCTGGCATGGTATAACTACACAAGGTAGTCTCATGTAGTCATATGTTTCCAATTTGCCTTTGAAAACATTCAGCTTTCAAAATTTAAATGAAAATACACTCCTTCGATATGTACGGATATCATGTATTCAGTGGCAACACATAATATTGCTAAATTAGTTATATTTATAAATATATTTAAGTTCTCTGCATATACAACTTAAAAATATACGTTGTAACAACCATGGTTAATTCTTGAGAGCAATGTTCAGATTTAGAAATTATATTTTGTTTAATTTATTGACAGTTTGCCAATCGACATACATACAATTTTATGGAATTTATTTGATATTGATCATGGTACAATTATAAAAGGTAACAGCAAATCCCAGCTGATTTGATTCCAACGTAATACTAGTGTCAATATGAATATGACAAATTATGTTTTTAAAAAGCACCCAACAGGAAAATTGGGAACGCATAACATTTAAAATTGTTCTTTATTAAATGTGCTCCTGTATTCAATTTACTCAATCTGCCTGCTGGGAAAGTTTGAGGAAGCAAATCTTTCTTCAAGGAATAACTCGCTTTTCCCAGCATTTTCATATGTGTTACACATATATATGGCAATGGCTCAATTATAGGAAAGATGTGGAAGCGATAGAAATATAAATTTGATAGATTTTCATTCATGTTTTTCAATTTTTATTTTGAGGATTCAAAATATTTCATTTTTAAAATAAAAATAATTTTATGATGATTTGTTTGTTTGTTTACATTTTTCTGTCAAATGAGTTGACACTAGTAGAACTTACAAAAACAAATTTCCATGTGGTTGTTGTATCGTTTTTTGTACAACAACAATTGCTGTTACCTTCTATTATTATACCATGGATATTGATATGTATATTTAAATGAAAATATCTTCCTTCGAAATGTACGCATAACGTTTGCTAAATAATTTATATTTATAAATATTTTGAAGTTTCCTGCCTCTAAAAATTATAGATATAAGTTCTAACAAACATGGTCAAATCTTGAGAGCAATGTTAAGCTTTAGAAAATATATTTTGTTTTATTTATTGAAAATATGTCAATCGACATATATAAAATTTTATGGATATTATTTTTCATTTTATTTGAAATTGATGGATGAATTCCATATTAAAAAGGGTTACCATCATAAAATTCTCAAATGAGACTACTTTCTGTAATTATGCCATGGATTTTAAAGAACATTTTCAAGTAAATTATTACACAATTATAAATTGACGTTAAATTTTAATTAAAATTGAATTTTCTCTATGAATTCGCTTACTGGCCCACAAGAAATTACAGCCTGTTTCACTAAGACGATCGAAAGGTTATTTTTTCGCTTTTATATGAAAAAAATCAATTTGGGTTCCTCTTTATCCTGTATCTTTTATGTTTTTCATTCATGTTTTTACAAAATAAAACTTGAAAAAAATCAAATTTTTATTTGCCAATTTGTTATACGCAAACATTTGATTTTATTTGTATATTGTTTTTAATTCTCATTCGATGCTCATTAATAAAAAATAGTTGTTAATATATAAGTTCAATTTGGTACTTTTTCAAATTTCGACGTACTTTGTACGATAAGTCATTTATTACAGAAACCCAATCTGATTCGAATTCGCGTGATTACCATTCGTTCGATCGTCTTAGAGAAACAGGCTGTTAATTACAGAAAAAGCTGATCTCACTCATTTGTTCGCTTCTTGATTGTCTTTTTTACATTTGTTCCCATTGATAGGGAAAAAACTAAAGTAATCTCGTGAATCTGGGATGGATTCTAGTGAGGTCAGATTTACAAGAAAATATATGCAAAAATATGCAAAATATGCAAAAAAAATTTGCACGGTATGCTAGGTCGATATGCATTAAATATGCAAAATATTTGCATAAAATATGCAAAATATAGGCAAACATATGCAAAAATATGCACGGTATGCTAGGTCGATATGCAAAAAATATTTGCATAAAATATGCAAATATATACAAAATATGCAAAAATATGCCACATATAGGCAAAAATATGCAAAATATTTAAAATATACAAAAATATGCAAAGGTATGCAAAAATATGCACGGTATGCTAGGTCGATATGCAATAAATATTTGCATAAAATATGCAAAATATAGGCAAAAATATGCAAAATATTTAAAATATACAAAAATATGCACGGTATGCTAGGTCGATATGCAATAAATATTTGCATAAAATATGCAAAATATAGGCAAAATATGCAAAATATAGGCAAAAATATGCAAAATATTTAAAATATACAAAAATATGCACGGTATGCTAGGTCGATATGCATTAAATATGCAAAATATTTGCATAAAATATGCAAAATATAGGCAAAATATGCAAAAATATTCAAAATATGCAAAAATAAGCAAAATATGCAACAAATAAGCACAGTATGCTAGGACGATATGCATTAAATATGCAAAATATTTGCATTAAATATGCAAAATATAGGCAAAAATATGCAAAATATATGTACAATATGCAAAATATGCACGGTATGCTAGGTCCATATGCAATAAATATTTGCATAAAATATGGAAATATGCAAAATATATGCACGGTATGCTAGGTCGCAATATTAAAGATAGAAATTTTGCACATATATTATTATTACTCCTAGGATGTGTGGTATTGGAAATGGGATATATCGGTCCACGTTTTAGTATATCCCCATATAACGGTTATATATGTTTGCATGTTTTATACATATATTTAGCAAATTTTTCATAATGCCCAAATATCTAACAGTTGAACCATGAAACGCATACTACAAAATTTGATTTCTATAGCTTAAAAATTAAGAAAGCACACAAATTCGAGGTCTATTGTATAAAAATTTAAAACATTACCATGAAAAATCATTTTTTTTTGATTAAAATGATTGCATATTGTGCATATATTTTGCACATTTTTGCATATTTTGCATATTTTTGCCTATATTTTGCATAATTTGCACATTTTTGCATATTTTCGCCTATATTTTGCATATTTTATGCAAATATTTATTGCATATCGACCTAGCATACCGTGCATTTTTTTTGCATATTTTACATATCTTTGCATATTTTGCATATTTTTGTATATTTTAAATATTTTGCATATTTTTGCCTATATTTTGCATATCTTTGCATATTTTATGTAAATATTTATTGCATATCGACCTAGCATACCGTGCATATATTTTGCATATATTGCATATTTTGCATATTTTTGCATATATTTTGAATATTTTTTTGCATATATTTTGCATATTTTTAACACGACCCCAAATATCGATCAATTGAAGCATGAAACGCCTAAATACAAAATTTGAGTCCAATCGGACAAAGCATAAAAAATATGCAAAAATCACACACTTGAAAATGTTGTTGACATATGATTTTTTGTATTGTTTTTACAAAATTTTTACAAATATTTTTTGGAGGGGAACAAAAATTGGAGTATCATTTCAAAAAATATTAAACTAAAATAATATAAAAAATTAATCTTAATATTACCAAAAGTAATGATCGATAAATATCGTAATATTTCGTTAATATTAAGGTATAGCGTAGAAACCTTTTTATCAATAGCGAATGCACAAAGATGAAGATCTGAACATTAAACATACATGCATATGAATAACACATTACACATATAAATTTCAGAAAAAAATATGTGAGAATCGTGAGACTTTCGATTATTAAATACCTATAACTATTAACACAGAACACGCCTTAAGCCTAACATTTATCTACTTTTATCATTTGCACCAGCTTCAAAGATGCACGCAGTGGGCATTCATTCTGCCATGGCAATAAAACGCCAACGACGACGTCGTGATGAACAAAAACGGGCTCGAGAAAGACGTTACAGTACACAAAGTTCGGAGAGTGGTGAAACGTTCCATTCACCAAGTGGATCTGTACGACGAAAGTATCATCACACACACAATGCCGCGAAAGCTGGACCCGGGATGATTGATAGCCAGGTAGTACATTAACATTCACGTGCTTCTCAAACATGTAATTTATATAAAATTGTACGGATACATTTCCATATGTCTATCGTTTCTGTAATTTCAACCATAAATCCTTAAGGTTGTCACTAGTATTGGTATGCTGCACATTGGTATAGTCTTCATCGTATTCGGTGTATTTTTATGTGGCGCTGGCATTATCCCAGATGAAACAATGTCTTGGAACGTATTCAGTAAGTATATGATGCTGCTATATCCGGCTGTCAATGAAGAATTTTTTGGAATTTTAGGCAAATTGCAGGATTTCACATATGGTACAATTATACCAGGCAACTGCAATACTCAGCAGATTTCATTGTTTCATCCTAATACTCGTGCCAAGTTCCATATGACATGTTCGAATTAGGTAGAACGACCTATCAAGAAAATTGTGTACACATTAGCTGTGTTCCCAAACTTGCAATATAGTACTATATTGTACTAGTTACAAAGAGAACGCCATTTTGTTTTGTGCTCTCTTAAATTTGAGTCAATGTTTTACGTTTTGTGGGTTGAGGAACGATTTTCGAGTAAAAAGTTGCAAAACATGTAAAATGAGTAGAATCTTTTAGGTTCTGGAACGGAACTTATATTAAAAAACAAGAAATGCGACCCATGGTACAATTATAAAAGGTAACAGCAAAACCCAGCTGATTTTATTCCAACGTAATACTAGTGTCAATATGAATATGACAAATTATGTTTTTCAAAATCACCCAGCAGGAAAATTGGGAACGCATACCATTCGAAATTGTTCTTTATTAAATGTCCTCCCGTATTCAATTTACTCAATCTGCCTGCTGGGAAGTTTGAGGAAGCAAATCTTTCTTCATGGAATAATACGTCGTTTACATTTAACCGGATTTCGTTAACCCAGTGGGTTTAAATTATCAATTCCATTGTATTTATGTCAAATAAATCTTTATAGAGTAGGTTAACCCGGTAAAAATTTATAATGTAAACGCCGTATAACTCGCATATAAGTGGCAATGGCTCAATTATAGGAATGGCGTGGAAGCGATAGAAATATAAATGTGATAGATTTTCATTCATGTTTTTCAATTTTATTTTGACGATTCGAAAATATCACATTTTCAAAATAAATATAATTTGTTTGTTTACATTTTTTTGTCAAATGACGTTGACATTAGTATAACTTACAACAACAAATTTTCATGTGGTTGTTGTATCGCTTGTTGTAAAGCAACACCAGAAAAAATACAACATCGTTTTGTGAAATATTTAACATTTAACTTTGCTATACTGTCAAATCTGCAGATGATGGGCATATATAGTATACGCGTTTAATTTTTTCTGAAAATTCAAAAATATTTCATTTCATAATTTCAAAATAAATCAAATATATTGATATTTCATATGTTTTTTTTACAGTTTTCGATATGTGAAACTGACACTAGTGTTAAGTGGGCCTCACGCGTCAAACATGTGCGTTCGATCGGTGTGAAGCTGCTAGTCTACACACGTCAACCGGATCCACAAAACTTCATTTCGTACATATTTTTGAAGCGTGATAATAACAATTTTCTATGTGGTTGTTGTTGAATTGTATGTTGTAGTTTTATACTTACACTTACACCAGCTGATATCTCCATTTTTTGTCAAAATATATGAAATTCGAAAAAATAACCATAGTTACCTTTGGCAAAGGCATCGGTATTATTTTCAATTTGTTTAAAAATTATTTAAAATACACAACATGTTATCAAATATTTGGGAAAACTCATTGTGCGCGTTATTGTACTAAATAAATGGACATTTTTAAAGATATATTTTTTAAAGATAATTTATAATCAGTTGAATAATAATTTCTTTATAACTGAACATTTTGTAAACTAGTTGATGAAAGCTCTACAGGGATGGATTTCACTTTACAAGTGAACGCGCCCTAATACACACAAACATACGGTAACTGTAAGCGCTCGTTTAGACTATAGCCTTAATCGTGATAATGTGCATTATCTAATTCAATATAATTTGACAAAAAATTTAGATATCAGCTGGCCTTACTGAATGACCTAATATATATATATATATGTATGTATATATATATATATATACTGGCAAACATTTTCTGCATAGAACTGTTAAACTAGATCTCTCATTTTACTCTCTTTTACTGGTCTTTAGAGTTAATAGATCAACAGTAACATTTGGTAACAATTGTAAACAAATATCGAATAAAAAGACACAGCTATTTTCTCGATTTGCTAGAAATAATGTCAAATACAACTCTGCTTTTGCACTAAAAATATTTCTCTGGTTTGTTAACTTGGTTAACAAAAAATTTAGACAGACGAGGGCGTTAATTTGCATTCAAAATTTAAATTAAAACCAAATTTAATTAAAAACAAAAACGACAATCTCTTTAGGAGGACAATTTTTACTGATTGATGATGTTATTTCAAATATTTTAGGCAAGTACATCTGGATGACATAAAGGACAGAAGCACCACTTCGAAAAAAGCTGAAATTTGGCTTCGTTAAACATTTGTATTTTCTGTGAGTTATTTATACTCTTTCGAGTCTAGCTTAATGATCGATTTGTATTTTCACAATTGTAAACAAATTTGACAATTGATTTTAAAATTGCTAAATTTAGTTTGATTGTGTGCATTAACAACTCATAAAATGGACATTATCTACAAATTAATTTGAATTAGCGCTGCTAATGAAAATTAAGATATACGTCTATCTTGGCTAAAAAGCCGAAATTTGTTTAAATTTATAACGATGTTTTGTCATTTCCGTTCACATTTGACTCTCGTATAACATTTTCCAGCAGGATTTTAAAAAGCCTAGGTGGTATACACCTAGTAAAATTTCCTTGGTAAAATTTCCGGACTTCGTTCTGACTCCTGTACATCTCGATTTGGTCATGCTTACGTTTTCCTTGTTCTTTCTTCTTTTTATGAAAATACGTTTCTCCGCTCTCCTTTTCTCCCGATAATTCTCCATCACATTACGTGTTGCTATTGTCTGCAGGGTTGCCCTATACGCTGCGTTTTTCACATCAGTAGTATTACAACACTCCTGATCGTACACTTTTCTTGGTAATGGTCTTGGGTACCCAAGTGTTGCTTTTGCTGCAGTTTGTAGGAAGTGGGCGATTCTTTGCTATTGTGCTTCTATATTATTATCAGGATCGCACCGTTGCTGATACTTTAAGACGAGTGCGAACCGTGGCTGTCATAAGGTAATGGTCCGAATCGATCGAACGTCTAAAACACGCCTATCACAACAAGATTGATCCGATTTCTCGTTGTTCGATCGGGAGAAATCCAGGTGGCCTTGTGATTATCGAGATTCTTGAATCTGGTGATGCTAACTTCCATATTTTTTGGGCCTTCCGATTTTTGCACAAAAATCTTTTAGCCGAATTTTAATGTCATGGCCAGGGCCGCGGTATATGTTTTTGTCTTCGTGATGTAGAAGAACTTCGCTTTTATACAGATTATAGCAATTCATTCGAGTCGTTTTTTTTCTGAGTGTGGGCAACTAACCCGACGCCTCAACCCATCAGCTCTCTATTTCAACGGGTGATGAAAATAGCTACCCCAGGTGACACCGCAGGGAGGTCAGTGAGATGAAAGAGGGACCAAAATAAGCCTGGGCAAAGCCAATGCGACTACATTATTTTACGTTATAAGCTAATGAGTAAAAAGTTGAAAAAAGCAGTAGATTTTTTCAGATTCTGGAACGAAATTATAAAACTAGGTTATCGTAAGGTTCATTTCCATGGTACAATTATAAAAGGTAACAGCAAATCCCAGCTGATTTGATTCCAACGTAATACTAGCGTCAATGAGAATTTGACAAATTATGTTTTTAAAAATCACCCAAGAGGAAAATTGTAAGGCATGGTTCATTGCATGGTATAATAATAGAAGGTAACAGCAAGTGTTGTTGTACAACAGCCATACGAAGTTTGTTGTTGTAAGTTATACTAGTGTCAACGTCATTTGACAGAAAAACGTAAACAAATTAAAAACAAATTATATTTATTTTGAAAATGTAATTTTTTCGAATCCTAAAAATAAAATTAAAAAACATGAATGAAAATCTATCAAATGTATATATTTTGTGTCGCCTCCCCATTAGGGATAAGTAAATCGACTTTCGACTAATCGATTAATCGACTTTTTGTATTGAAAAGTCTAAAAGTCAAAGTCGACTTTTGATCTATGAGAAAATCGTAAAGTCGACTTTTCAAGATCGACTTTCGATTTTCTTCATAAATACATGGTTGTTTATCACAAAGCTCAAATTGCCCAAAAATTGCACTTTCCGGAACTTTACATTATAAGTTAACAATAATTCATATAAAAAATCAAATTTTTTAGTCGATTTTGCAGAAGTCAGTAAAAGTCGAAAATCGATTTTGAACAGTTTTGACAAAATCGAAAGATCGAAAAGTCGACTTTTTAGTCAAAGGCAAAAATCGAAAAGTCTAAAAATCGACTTTTTGGTCAGAGGCAAAAATCGAAAAGTCTAAAAGTCGACTTTTGCGCTTGACTACGTATCCCTACTCCCCATCTTTCCTATAATTGAGCCATTGCCACTTATATGAGCAACACATATAAAAATGCTGGGAATTACCAATTATTTCATGAAGAAAGATTTGTTTTCTCAAACTTTCCCAGCAGGCAGATTTAGTAAATTGAATACGGGAGGACATTTAGTAAAGAACAATTTCGAATTGTATGCGTTCCTATTCTCCTCTTGGGTGATTTTTAAAAACATCATTTGTCATATTCATATTGACACTAGTATTACGTTGGATTATAACACCCCCGGACGAAGACTCTTTCCCGTGTTCCAAAGGAGCTGAGGGGAAGGGCATAGTTACTTTTACTGAGCTTGATCTATATTTTAAATACAGATACAATGCTATAATAAGTATAATTACAGCTGTCAAGACTATTACTGTGTAATTAGTTACTTTCTGTTCAAATTTTATTTCTGATATGAATTCGGTATTTTTAATATGATGATACTATATTTCCTCTAAAGAATCATATGAATCATTTATCATATGTATGTCTCTGTAGGGATTTGGAATTATTAACATGTTTTGAAACATTACTTTATTGTACCATTTGTCAAATTTTACTTTGCAATTTTCTATGATCAGCATGTGATTTCCAGATAATTTTAATGGGTATTTGTTACATGCATGATTAACAATTTGATTAGTATTTATAGCAATTATAATATTTAAGCCAATCTCGACAACTTCTGGTTTAGTATTTTGTATATAATGACATTTCATGAGCTTATAATTAAACAGATTGGATAAACAATCATCCTCAACTTCCCTTAGATTTGGTGTTTCATTAACATCATAATAAATTTTATTATTTTTTGTGATATACAATTTTTCTGCAAAATTTGCATTTTTTCTTTATTAGGTATTGGTTGGATATATACTTCTTGGAATATTTTAGGATTATATTGGGGTACTTTTAAGACAAATATATAAAAATGCTGGGAATTACCAATTATTTCATGAAGAAAGATTTGTTTTCTCAAACTTTCCCAGCAGGCAGATTTAGTAAATTGAATACGGGAGGACATTTAGTAAAGAACAATTTCGAATTGTATGCGTTCCTATTCTCCTCTTGGGTGATTTTTAAAAACATCATTTGTCATATTCATATTGACACTAGTATTACGTTGGATTATAACACCCCCGGACGAAGACTCTTTCCCGTGTTCCAAAGGAGCTGAGGGGAAGGGCATAGTTACTTTTACTGAGCTTGATCTATATTTTAAATACAGATACAATGCTATAATAAGTATAATTACAGCTGTCAAGACTATTACTGTGTAATTAGTTACTTTCTGTTCAAATTTTATTTCTGATATGAATTCGGTATTTTTAATATGATGATACTATATTTCCTCTAAAGAATCATATGAATCATTTATCATATGTATGTCTCTGTAGGGATTTGGAATTATTAACATGTTTTGAAACATTACTTTATTGTACCATTTGTCAAATTTTACTTTGCAATTTTCTATGATCAGCATGTGATTTCCAGATAATTTTAATGGGTATTTGTTACATGCATGATTAACAATTTGATTAGTATTTATAGCAATTATAATATTTAAGCCAATCTCGACAACTTCTGGTTTAGTATTTTGTATATAATGACATTTCATGAGCTTATAATTAAACAGATTGGATAAACAATCATCCTCAACTTCCCTTAGATTTGGTGTTTCATTAACATCATAATAAATTTTATTATTTTTTGTGATATACAATTTTTCTGCAAAATTTGCATTTTTTCTTTATTAGGTATTGGTTGGATATATACTTCTTGGAATATTTTAGGATTATATTGGGGTACTTTTAAGACAAATACTATATTATTTTTGTAAAGGCCTAAATTCATCTTAATTTCTTTCATTTTGTCTATGGTTATATTATATATTCTAATTTCTTCATCACTCAGGATATCTCGATTGACGGTAAACATTATCAGCTTTTGCTGTGTTGTCTTTAATTGATTTAACGTTTGACATGCTTTTAATCAACAGTTTTGTTTGGTCATTATATAATTTTGTTAAGTTAGCTAATTGATTGTCAAATTGTGTATTTATGTGTATTTGATTATTAGTTTGCGTTATTATATTATGTTCATTCCTCTCCAAATTTTGCAGTTGTCCTTCAATCTCTTCTCTATCATTATTATCCGTTGTGCCATATAGATTTTTTAATCCTGTACCAAAAAGATTAATTAAACCTCTTTTACTTCTAGCTCGATGGGGAATAATAAAAATAAATATCGCACATATATATTTCATGAAGAAAGTTTTGTTTTCTCAAACTTTCCCAGCAGGCAGATTTAGTAAATTGAATACGGGAGGACATTTAGTAAAGAACAATTTCGAATTGTATGCGTTCCTATTCTCCTGTTGGGTGATTTTTAAAAACATAATTTGTCATATTCATATTGACACTAGTATTACGTTGGAATCAAATCAGCTGGGTTTTGCTGTTACCTTTTATAATTGTACCATGTAAAACCGTCTTAGCTATACGATAGACACGGCAACATTTAAATATTTTCTTTTTTGAAATTTATACACTATAGCGGGTTATCCGGCAAAACTTTAGATTTTAACTTCATAATTTTTCAAAGAATAATTTTATTTTTTATTAAAAACACAATTTTTTTAAGGGAACCCCACCCATTCTCGATTTTAATTTTTCAAGATTTTCAATGGGCTGGTAAATCAATACCAATGCTTGTTAATGTTTGTAACTTTGCACATATATATTTGAAGATTTAAAAGATTTTAATTTTTTACGATTTTAATTTTTCAAGATTTTCAAAATAATTTAATAACTTTGCACATATATATTTGAAGATTTAAAAGAGAAGAAAAATAATTTATAAACAAATTTTGTTATTGCTTTGTTGTTGTTTTTTTGTAATTAAAGAAAAGTCCTTATTTTTGATGGCGGGCATGATAACTCCTCACTGGAACATCGGAATCCGAAAATGTATATTTCTGTCGCCTCCACATCTTTCCTATAATTGAGCCATTGCCACTTATATGAGCAACACATATAAAAATGCTGGGAATTACCAATTATTTCATGAAGAAAGATTTGTTTTCTCAAACTTTCCCAGCAGCAGATTTAGTAAATTGAATACGGGAGGACATTTAGTAAAGAACAATTTCGAATTGTATGCGTTCCTATAACTCCTCACTGGAACATCGAAATCCGAAAATTCCAACAGTGTTAGAAAGAGTACATGTCTGGCTCTCGTATGAACTAGGATTAAAATTAACAAAATGGCGGACCTTTGAAAAAATATTTTTGGGAAATCGCCGATTTTTGACCAAAAACCAAGTTAAAAAACGGTAGATCTTCACCGATTGGCTTTATCCTAGTTCGTACGATAGCTATACACTCACAGAGAAACGTGTAAAAATTTGGAATCGATTGGGTTATTAGTTTTTGAGTTATCGTGCCCGCCATTCGCAAAAGAGAAAAACGCGTTTAAAGTTTGAGAAGCCCTTTAGCCGTCACTTGATGCTGACACAATAAATCGGCTATATCTTCAAGAGTTCTTGAGATTTTCACTTGAAATTATGTAGAGCCATTTTTGAATTAGTGTAGAATCGAATTAAATAAAAAAAAATTGACCCCGAGAATGGGGGGGTCCCCTTAAATGATTACTAAATGAGTAAATATTTAAACAAATTAAAAAAACCGATAACCCTGTAAACATTTTCATGACAGTTGGGGTCTACCATCGATTGCGCGGATTAGCGAGATTTTACTGTATTTTTTTTTTTTTTTGCCTAAAATGGACAGGACAAATTATGCGAAAATATTGAACCCATATGTATATTTATGTATTTGATCAAATTAACATACGGCAGTTTGTGTTATTTCAAATAAATTGGTAACAATTTAACTCGACTTTTCTTAATGACCAACTTGTATTCTTCCCCTTAGGTTCCAGTTCAGCTTGGTGGAACGAGGTTACATGTACCGGATTGTTTTCATTGGGACTTGGGCTATTTCTACTTATCCTAAATTGTTTGATAAGTCGCAAGGAAGAGGAGGACTTAGAGGATTATGTACAACGGCAATTGACACGATCTCGATCCGGACATCGTTTAGAGCGAGATGTAGAAACCGGTGTTCTCACAACTAGGCATGCTCGCAAAGCAGTGGCACTGCAGAAAAATGGCATTGCTGCCGACGTAGCACTTGTCAACAGTTCAAACAATGAAAATGTACCCAATGGATCCATAGATGGAAGAACATGTATGTTACCCAACACCCTTGCATACATGAATTCCCAAACAACCACTAATAATTATAATTTTCACCCATTATAGGTATAAATACTTCCGGTGATATTTTATTAGAGAAAATAGTCGAAGAAGACAATTCATATCTAAACAACGGTAGCGTCGGTGTTTCACCCATAGAAATCGAAAATGATACCAAGCAGCTATTACGGAGCGAATCAATAAATGAAACAATCAATATTACACGAATATAAAACTTGTTTTACCCGGACTCACCAAATTTATTCTTTATGCAATTTAATACTTTAACAAAATGTAGATAATAAATTATGTATCTCTTTTTATAAAAAAGATCTATGAACTATAATACACTACAGTTAATTGTAGAGAACATACTTAAACCTAAAACACAATACACTACACCTACATAATACACACATTCTTCTAAGCTTAAGATACCGTTTTTTATAAAATATATTAATTTATTATATACCTATTATATTTAATTATATATAAGTGAAAATCAAATATTTTTGTATATCTCGAATGCTTTCAGTTTCTAAATTATTAAATATTTTACCTTTTGCACTTTTCGCTCAATAAATATTCCGCTAATAAGAATATATTCCGATAAAATAAATAAAAAAATCATACTTACAGTTATGTCTTTTTATAATCAAATAAAGCGTACATAAATACAAAAGAGCACAACTCGCAATTACATTTTCCGTGAAATAAGGTCACTAAGGGAGACCAGCTGATTATCGATACCTCTCAAGTTTGCTGTCAAAATGCATTATTGTGAATTGACTTCCATTATGAAAACGTAAACAAAGTCAAAATGTTTGACATTAGGCTTGAGAAAAAACAGCTGTTTTCCGATTTCGATTGCTATCTTGGTGACCTTATTAATAGATCTTGCAGTTTACGAACAGAATTATCGACGATGGTCGATAACTGTTTATTATATTGATCAGAAGCTTTGATATACACTTGCCAGCACAATTATTCAATTTAGAAGTTCGGTTGATAAGATGTAGCGTGTCATCGCCACATGTCGGGAAAATATTGTATTGTTGTTCCCAAACTACTCTGCTCTGTAATTTTAATCCTTCTTAATAGGATTGTGTTTTTAAAAAAAAAAAAAAAAACTAAAGTGAGTTTTTCTTCCTTTAGCGAAACTCGCGTAACAAAATAAAACGTTAATTAAAGTTTGCTGCTAGAATAGAACTGAATCTTTATTTGTGAATATAAGTGCAATATTAATAATTGTTTACTTTAATTTTAGATACATCGTATGATTATTGTAATATGATTATTCTACTGGTCTTTTGATTCGATCGTATGATTTGAAATACGATCGATTGTGTGATTTGCAAGAAGAGTGTGGCTTTTTTTTAAAATGACAGATGGTACGATAATTGTAATATGAATATATTGCCAAGTCATTGGAAAGGCATTTTGGTTTGGGTTATAACACCCCCGGCGAAGACTCTTTCCCGTGTTCCAAAGGAGCTGAGGGGAAGGGCATAGTTACTTTTACTGTGCTTGATCTATATTTTAAATACAGATACAATGCTATAATAAGTAAAATTACAGCTGTCAAGACTATTACTGTGTAATTAGTTACTTTCTGTTCAAATTTTATTTCTGATATGAATTCGGTATTTTTAATATGATGATACTATATTTCCTCTAAAGAATCATATGAATCATTTATCATATGTATGTCTCTGTAGGGATTTGGAATTATTAACATGTTTTGAAACATTACTTTATTGTACCATTTGTCAAATTTTACTTTGCAATTTTCTATGATCAGCATGTGATTTCCAGATAATTTTAATGGGTATTTGTTACATGTATGATTAACAATTTGATTAGTATTTATAGCAATTATAATATTTAAGCCAATCTCGACAACTTCTGGTTTAGTATTTTGTATATAATGACATTTCATGAGCTTATAATTAAACAGATTGGATAAACAATCATCCTCAACTTCCCTTAGATTTGGTGTTTCATTAACATCATAATAAATTTTATTATCTTTTGTGATATACAATTTTTCTGCAATATTAATTTTAATTTTTTCTTTATTAGGTACTAGCTGGACCCGTGGCACTTCGCTGCCCCTTCCAAAGGCCAAAAAATTAAATCCATAATATGGTAATTTTTACTATGAAATGTGTAACTGACTTAGAATTTTTAAACGTATAGCATTATTGCTATGAGAAAAATCCAACATCGCGCAAATATTCCAAATTCGAGGTATCAAAATATTGATTTTTCTGGAGGAGTGTGTGAAAGAAAATAACATCCTTAAGTGTCCACGGTAATCATAGGTGCCCAAAATTGAAATGCGTTAGTATGTGTGAGAGAAAACAGAACAGTACTGAACAAAATTGTGTGTACATTTTTGTGGTCGGAAAAAATTATCGATGAATTTAATTTTTGTTATTATATAGATTAAAAGCATTATTAAAAATGTTTTTATATGAATTACAAATTGTATATGTTACAAAAATCAAATAAAGTTTATAAAGTAGCATATACTGAGATAATAGTCATATTATCAAATATTTAATTCTTGAAATAATTAAATATTTGATAATGTGATGTTTTGTTGTTTTTAAAAGTTTTAAAACATACAAAACATTGTGCCTTCCCAAACTCATTTTGAATAATTAAATAAAAATATACTGAAATACTTTTATCCCTAAGTGTGATTTCGTTGATTTTCTAGTTGTGTGGACTCGACGTCGTGCGCGCACCCTAGCATGTGTTCATTCGTTGGCTGTCAAACAACGACTGAATGAAAAAGCATAACAATGCGTGTGAGTAGGCAGCTACTTTAAAGTATACTGATGGGCACCTATGACGGTAATATATATACTGAATAAATTTTTCAAAAGAACATCCACGAAAGCGAGTAACATATTCCGACACGTGATTGTCACTACGTAGATTTTTAATAAAGCGTGTTATAGTATTAATAATTCGCTTTAGCTTATTAACATGCAAATCAATGGATCCCGAATACACTCCAAGTCCATATAATTGCAGCGACATTAACAGAGCATTTGCCAGTATTAACTTTACAGTTGCTGTACAACAATAATTTTGCACTGATCTAGGAATATATTGAAGGATGAGGGATTATGATTATTAGAACAAAATCCCAAAGCTTTTGGTTTGAAAAAATTTATATTAAAATAATGCACAGAACGCAGTACATAAAGGGTCTTAGATGGATGTTTTTGTTGTCTTCCATCAAAGTAGAACTATACATTGAAAAGCAGTAATAGGATCAGCGAATAAAAATTAAAGCTTTATCTAAATTTATCATATCCCAGTCTCCGACTTTTAACGTGCCTTCTAGATGATCAAACGATTTAAAATTAAAATTCACACTATTCACTTCGGTGTTTTTTAAGCCAAATAACATTTTTCCAAAGTAAATATGTTTTCACAAACTGAAAAAGACAGTAAGGAAAGCAGTAAATTCGGACTGGGCCGACTATATGATACCCTTCACCATTTTGGGTATTTATCTATATCTAAACCGACTAACATCAATCCCTACACATGTCATTCTGCAACCTATCGTAAATCGATTTAAAGCAAACTTGACACACGCTATTTGGTATATTGCTCGGTTTAAAATTTAATCTCAATCAGACATCCATTGATTACATGGTGTAAATTTACCATGAACCGAATTCAAGGAAAGTTACCAGAGATTAATTTATATCGGACGAACATATATATGGAAGCTACATCTAAATCTGAACAGATTTTCACGAAACTTTGCTAGACTATTCTAGACTTAATTCATTACGCTATGCCAAAATTCGTGCAAATCGAATGATTTTCAGGGGCACCATTTACATAAAATCGGACGAAAATATATATGGGAGCTATATCTAAATCTGAACGGATTTCACGAAATGAAAATCGAATGATTTTCAGGGCACCATTTACATAAAATCGGACGAAAATATATATGGGAGCTATATCTAAATCTGAACCGATTTTCACGAAACGAAAATCGAATGATTTTCAGGGGCACCATTTACATAAAATCGGACGAAAAAATATATGGGAGCTATATCTAAATCTGAACCGATTTTCACGAAACTTAGCATACATCATTCTTGACCTAATTTATTAGGCTGCACCTAATTTCGTGCAAATCGAAAGATATATAGAGACCATTTACATTAAATCGGACAAAAATATATATGGGAGCTATATCTAAATCTGAACCGATTTTTATGAAACTTTGCGCATTCATTCTAATTCAGTACGCTATGCCAAAATCTATCTAAATCTGAATCGTTTTTCACGAAACTTAGCACACATCATTCTACGCTATGCCAAAATTCATGCAAATGGAATGATATATAGCGATTTTGGTGTGCCAATTATAGAGGCTTCGGTGCACCATTTACATATGGGAGCTATATCTAAATCTGAACCGATTTTCACGAAACTTTGCACACATTATTCTAGACTTAATTTAGTCCGCTTTGCCAAAATTCGTGCAAATCTAATGATTTTCAGGGGCTTTGGTGCACCATTTACCAAAAATCGGGCAAAACTATATATGGGAGCTATATCTAAATCTGAACCGATTTTCACGAAACATAGTATCCATTATTCTTGACCTAATTCAGTATTCTATACCAAATTTCGTGCAAATTGAAAGATATATAGGGACTATTTACATTAAATCGGACACAAATATATATATATATGTGGGAGCTATATCTAAATCTGAACCTATTTTCATGAAACTTAGCACAATCATTCTTGACTTAATTCAGTACGCTATGCCAAAATTCGTGCAAATCGAATGATATATAGCGACTTTGGTGTACCAATTACCTAAAATCGGGTGAAACTATATATGGGAGCTATATCTAAATCTGAACCGATTTTCACGAAACTTAGCACACATTATTCTTGACCTAATTTAGTAGGCTATACCAAAAAATTTCGTGCAAATCGAAAGATATATAGGTACCATTTCATGCATAAATCGACTCAGAAAGTTATTCTATGCTTATTCTCAAAAGGAACCATGGGTCTATCTCGATTTCTTTTGCCTGTTACAAACATATGCACAAAGTCATAATACCCTGAAACACCCTGGTGAAGGGTATAAAGAGGGCAAATATGTGTACAGTACTAATTTGTGTATATAATCCAAATTATTTAAATAGCTTCGTGCTCAAATTTTACGAATTCTGTCATCAGAAATGTGTACAGTACTATTTTGTGTATAGAGTCCACAT